TTCATGTTTATGGTTGCCAGATATATTTACCTGAACACTGTCAACTTGAGAGTAAACTGTAGCAGATCCTATAGATCAGAAAACTAGGCTGAACTGGAATATATCTGGAAAACGTGGAGGCCCAAATCAGAACAATGAAAGATGCTGATACAGAGCAGCAGAAGGCAGAGGACAGATTCTGAGCTACAAATGTTCAAAAACCAATGAACATAACTTTGCATTTCTTCTTGTCTAATTCACATGTTCCACTGAACAAAGGTGCAAACTTTCTCGACACTTGTACAAATGTTTGTGTGGAAGAGCATCCACTAATTTTTACAGCTCAGCTATTGTGTATCTAGGTAAACAAGTGGACATTTCTTGACTGTATCATGTAATTATGTCAGTAAATTAGCAAATAACCAAAATAACAAAGAAGCATGAATAATAATAATGTGACATAGAAGTTATTAGAAGGAAAGTGATTAGACGAGAACATTTCTAGAACTCTTGATGCTGAAACTCACGTGAACCATGACTAAATCTTTATTAGACCATTTGGCTTCCCATCGCCCCCCAGCTGAGCAGTTTAAGAAAGCCCCCACTCCTTTGGCTCATGCAAGCCAGAGTGGTATGGGGCTTGCTCAGTAGGGCTAGGCAATGTATTTTGATTGCTGTGTTGAATTAGCCCAACTATTTTCCCCTCCAGATGTTTTGAACTACAGCTCCTGTCAGCCCCAGCTAGTACTGGTAATGGCCATGGATTATGGGAGTCATAGTCCAAAATGGCTGGAGGATATCAGGTTGGGCAAAGCTGAATTAGCCCCTGCTCCCTGATGTCATCACAGTACCTGTTCCTCTGCCCTCTTCACCAATGATGTGGGGCAGGAGTGTGAAAATCCACATTACTATGACATCAGGATGGAAAGTAAGCTGAACAGAAGTTTATGAGAAGGACCATAGCTCAAAGAACTGTAGCAGAAGGTCTTGGATTTGATTCCAGGCATCTCCAAGTGAGGCTGGAACTAGATGGATCAGTGCTCTGACTCTATAAGGCAAGCTTCCTTTGTTCCTGTGGGGAGGAAGGGAGAGAGGGAGAGCTTGACTTGGAGCTGCCATTGTAACCCTATGTCCTAATTCCACCCACAAACTGAAATCCCAGTTTCACCTATTTAGAAACAAGATTAATTTAATTCTACATTTCTTCCAAGTAATAGTTTGCTAGGATCAGTTTGCTTATTATACTTCAAAGGTTCAACCCATTTTTAAATTGGCTTCTGAAGATTCAAGGCAACAACTCTGAAGAACTACTGATTTAAGCAAATCAGTCCTGATTCCAGTAAGTAGAGAAGGGAAATAAAAGGACATTTTTGAGACAATTTGCATGTAATAGAGATGGAAACCTATTAAAATTAACCGCCATAGAAATAAAATGACTGGAGTGGGAATGTAGTGGAATCTACAAGATCTTGAACATTGTGACAACAGTAAATACAGGATGATTATTTATCCTCTCACACATTACAGGTCAGGAACTACAGGACATCCAATTACATTAACAGGCAGCATGCTTAAACCAAACAAAGGAATTTTTTTTTCTTTTTTCTTTACCAGACAGCTTGCAAGTAGCTTGTGGAATGCCATGAATATTTATCTAGAGAGTTAGCAATTAGTCACCACACAACAAACAACCTCAAAGGTTAAGTCATGAACAAAGGCATGACCAGAAATCCATTGCCCCTTTATGCTGGGAGTAAATGGCAATACAAACACAATTTGACAAATGTTTTAAAACAGAACACACTATAGGGCTCTGTAGAGCTTGCTTCCAAGCAACTGTGTACAGGAACAAGTCCCTTATTTAAACCCTACATTTTCTCCACAGAGACATAGTCCCCTCAATTTTATATTCTCAACAGCCCTGTGCAGTAGGATAAGCTAAGAGATCACTGACTGACCTAGGAACATTCTTGGCTGCAGAACTGATAGTGGTGTCACATCCACACCACACTTCTAAAACACTCTTATACCACTTTAACAGCCATGGCTTCCCCCGAAGAACTGTGCAGTTTCTTAAAGAATTTTGTCTTTTGAGATCAGAACCCTTAATGAACTACAGTTCCCAGGATCCTCATCCTAGTCTGATATTCTAACCACTTGTCATACTAGCAAAACATTAGACCAGGCATAGGCAAATTTGGGCCTCCAGATGTTTTGGGACTTCAACTTCCATGATCCCTAGCTAACAGGATCAGTGGTCAGGGATGATGGGAGTTGTAGTCTGAAATATACTCAGAGTCGCAAAGTGATTTCATGCTCTTTATTCAGCTCATAGTGGTGAGAAGGAATGAATGAATGTCCCCTCAAAGTATCTGCTTTATATACATTATTTACACAATGGGCTGCACATGATTGGCTAATTCTGGAATTCTACTGTAAGCCAATCAGGTTGTGGATTCACTTATATCTGGAGCATGATTGGGTGGTTCCTGCCAACCAGGAACTTTGTTCTAGGACCAATCAGACTGCTGCATTCTGAATCCTATTGTTCTAGGACCAATCAGACTGCTGCATTTTGGATCCTATTGTTCTAGGACCAATCAGACTGCTGCAGTTTGGATCCTATTCAACTCAGTACATAACATAGTCCCAAAAACATATGGAGGGCCAAGTTTTCCTATGCCTGCATTAGACAAAATAAGTAGTTAGCTGTGTAGATTGAGGCCAAGCTAGTCTTAATGGATTGGGTCACTTCTGTAATGTAAACTGCTGTAGAGTTCATGGGAAAATGAGTTCTTTTTTTAAGTGACAACCATATCTAAACATAATAACTAGTGTCGAATCCTGAGAAACTTCTTCAGAAGGCTTCTTCACACTTGCATATTGCCCTGATTGACAAATGTGAAACTCAGGTTTATTTGGGAAGCTTCATGTGTTTCATAATTATCAGGTACTGGTGTGTAGGTACCAGAAACACAGAGTCTTCCCCCTGTGTGCATTCCTTCCCCTCTTCATGCACCCAACTGTTCTAGGACTAGGTAAATGGCCTACAAGTGGAACTGGACAAAACATTGCAGTGAGAAGCACTTTTTTCTGTGTTTCAATCAGGCAACCCTGTCCTTCTCTATGATTACCCTTCCCATATTGTCTCCCACACACCCACATCAGTATTCTGTGACCACTGAATATGCTCATTCCTTACTGGACAGTTTTGGAATCCCCCACTCCACTTATTCCCCCAAAATATTCTTTGTACTTATGCCAACTTGGGGGTTAGCTTCAACCTAATTATACCTCCCCTCTTGTATGTGGGTGATATATTTTGATTACATAATAAGCAATGGCACTCACAGCCTAAACACTGGAATCAGAGCAAATTATTTATAAGTAACTTTTGTAGAAGTCCCCTTTTATATGCATCCCCTGTGATGAGATTGTTGATGACCATATTTATGCAGTTTTTTAAAAAATTCACCCTATCATGTGTGGCTGCATTCACACAACTGCTCCACTTTTAGGATCTATAGGTATGTTCATAAATAGCTGTTAACTTTTGTATGTCACAAATTCCAGAGAGGTAGCTGCTGTAGGAAAACAATGAAGAGCACCTTATGACACCTTAAAGACCAGCAGATTTATTATGACACAAACTTTTGTGGACTAGAGCTTGTTACCATGATGCTTTGGGTAAGATGTCACTTTGGTCCACAACTGTGTTGGCATGACCAAAGAGTTGCATTTGGGGTAATTCTCTCAGTGGAACTACATTTTCTATTGCCTTTTTACCTTACCTGTTGGGCAGACATGACAGGAATCACTAGGAAGATGGGATTGGAATAACTTAATGAAACTATCTGGCTGTCAAAAGATTGCTAAATGCATAGACTTTATGTCTCAGATTTACTGATGCAGAGTCTCTTTAGGCAAACATGGATATCACTTAGGTGTCAATTAAAAGGATGAGCAAAACAATGGAGGCTCATTGCAGGTATCCTGTCCCACCAGGAAAAAAATATGCAAAACACTTGTTTACCAGAAGACACTCTATTCAAGAGGGATAATCCTCTCTAAGTAGAGTTGACCACATACAGACAGTCATGACCTTTCAGGCAGAAACCAGATTTTCCTGCCACTTATCCCAAGTCTACTATTTTTCCATTAAGGTCACCCACATATACATCACCAAACCCCTCCTTTTATGTCACTTAACCCCTTCTTAGACAAATGCTCACCAACAGAACATGAAAACTTTAAAATCAGTTTTTTGCAATAACCATTTCCTGTATCCATTACATCACCCTATCACCCTCCATTGTTGTAAGATCACTCTGTTGAGAGCTAGGATATGTAAAACACTGCTCCTATCACTGTCTTTTTGCCCCAAGGTTATGTTCAAACTACCTTGCTTCTATTTGTTCTCTTAGGTTAAGTATGCATGAATGTGAGAGTGCATTAGTTATTGTGCACATCATTTGTATGCTTTTGCTTGTGATAAACTTGTGAGTTATATGCACTCTGGACTTCAAAAGGCTGAATTCATAAAGCTTAAGGAACCACCTATCATCAGAAATACTCAAAGAGAAGGGAGTACAAGATGAATGGGAGTTTCTTAAAGGTGAAATATTGAAGGCATACAATTCCAACAAGAAGGAAAAGTGGGAGGCACCTAAAGAAACTGATGTAGGAGCTTACAGATGAGCTGAAATCTAAGAAAGCTAGAAATTGCAAAGGAAGAGTATACAAAAGTAGCCCACAGTTGCAGGGAGAAGGTCAGGTGGGCCAAAGCTCAGAGTGAGCTCAGGCTTATAAGAGAGTTTAAAGTAATAAAAAATGTTTCTTTGGCTATGTTTGAAGCCAGAGAAAGAACAAGCAAATAGTAGGTCACTTGTGTGGAGAAGATGGAGAAATACTATTGGGTGAAAGAGAAGGTGGAACTACTCAACACCTACTTTTCCTCTGTCCCTTCCTACTCTACAATTCAATGATTCAGATAGCATTCTGCCGGGACTGGCTTATCCAAAATGGCTGCTGCAATGGATGTGGACACACCGAGTGGGACCAATAGTGGTGCCGGCAAGAAGCGCTTCAAAGTAAAGAAGTGGAATGCAGTTGCACTCTGGGCTTGGGACATCGTGGTTGACAACTGTGCCATTTGCAGAAACCATATTATGGATCTGTGCATAGAATGTCAAGCTAACCAAGAATCAGCTACCTCCAAAGAATGCACTGTTGCATGGGCTACCTGCAATCGTGCTTTCCACTTCCATTGTATTTCTCATTGGCTTAAGACTCGGCAGATGTGTCCATGAGATAATCAAAAATGGGAATTCCAGAAGTATGGGCACGAGTAGGAGAGAGAAGACCACCAAGTTTATTGTTCTATCTTCAGATAAGCCTTTCACCTTGCAAGCAGGTTGATGAAGTCTGTGTAACTTAATAGACACTTACCTTGCTTTTTGTTTTCACCTTAAAATAGTTATTGTGAATAGTAATAAACATGTTTGTCTCTGGAGGGGGGGGACATTCAATGATTCTAAGTTAAGGTCAATATACAACTGGGCTGGGGTCAGATGTGGAGGCCAATATTTTTCTCAGTTTGGTCCTTCAGACTTCTACCCTGGCCACACTTTCCCCATACTTTTGCCTGCCTGAAAGATGCCCTTGAAATTTAGCAATACCTGTTGCTTGTCTGGATGGAGGGGTGTTACGTGTGGAAACCTTGAATATCTGTATGCCTGGACTGTAGCCAACTGCACAAAGATAAGAGTCGCATTCATTGTCCCACTCACTACTGACGTGTGGTCCTATAATATTTCCTATAAGAAACAAACCCCTAGGGTTAAAAATAGAGGCTTCTCAGCATGATATTATGAAAGCTTACTTAAAACCTGAGTTCTGATTTAAGTTCAATGTCCTTCAACCTTGTGATATGCTTAGATTTACATATATGAATGACCAAAAGCAAGGGAATTCAAAACCAAATAATTCCCCACCCCCAGCGGATAATATGGCAGCATCAATTCTCTACAAAAGGGATGGAAGAGTGAGAGTACACCCGCCTGATAATAATGTTAAACATGGGGGAGGTGAAAATAATTGGGTGAAAATTCATGTGTGTAATATTTTGCCGGAAGTACAAGAAAATTAAAAGTACATTTGCTGAAAACAGTGTATCATTTATCGGCCTTATCATGAAGGCTGTTCTTGTAACTTGCACAAGCAGTCCAAGACATCAGTTGGCTTGGATGAAGGTGACACTGCTACCATCAAAACTCTTTTTAAAAAATACCTAGCCAACTCCAAAGACTTCAGTAAAATTCATGGTGTGGAGGTGTTATCTCAGCCTCTGAAGGATCTAATGTTCTTTCCAGCACAGAGTTCATTAGCCAGCTTTCTACCAGCTCTGAGCCTGAAATTCTTTTCAAGACCTGAAAACAACTAGTTATAGGGATGTCAATTTTATTTTGGCAGAATTCCTGTGCTTGTAAACAGCTACATTTTTATTATGCATTTATTTAGAATATTTATGTCCCACTGTATAGCTCTGAAGGGCTCTCTAAGCTGTTTACAAAATTTCACAGCAAAAAAATCTTAAAGAGTATGTGCCATATGTTCAGCATTTTCTTTCCCTTCTTTTCACCACAAATAAATGCTCCACATCTGATTTTTTGGGGGGAGGGGTGTAGACATGGTTGAATTTCTGCTGCCGTGTAGCTTTTAAAGGCACAGAGTTTTTTAAGGGGAAAGTTAGCAACCTTACCACTGAAGGAGTGAAGCAGTGTACACTTGTGATTCTAGACATGAGAATAAGTTCCGTTGAATTCAGTGTCACTTAATTCAGAGTGAAAATACAGAAGACTAGGCTGCAGAGTTCTAGATGTTACTTTTCAAACCCAGGGTCCATAATGATGGCACAATTTTAATATCAAAATACTTTATAGGAAATCTATTGTAATTTTGGATCTTGAAGTTTAGAGGAATGGTCACTTCCTCGAAATTAAAACCTTCATTCAAATGTTTTGGGCAGAGCAGTCCTTAAATTAGGCAAGGAGAAGGAAAGGTACGTCACTGTTACTCCAAAGGAATACTGTACCATATCTTATAATTGCTCAGCAAGGAAGGGAAAGGAACACAATGAAAAGATGGCATTAAAAAGACATACCAGCTCTGGCACCACTGCCATAACCCATCAACCAGGGACTATGCTAGTAATGACACCCATGTACTCTTCATACATGGGGGGGGGACCTAAATGGGTCCACAACAATGGGGATATGCACCCAGCAAGCTCACAGCATGCAGATCTGAGGCATTCCATCAGTGTATTTTTCATGGCAGCAGCATAACTAGCATTCAACTAATATAGAAAGGCTTTTAACAAGCGCTTTGGCCTCTTAGCCATCGTATCCCAAATCTAGGGCAGTGTTGTTGATGACAGAAATATGGCTGGAAAATGAGGAAAATAGGGGGTGGCAGTTTGTAACACTGTGGAAATGACGGTGAGGCTTCTTCTTAAAGTTCTCTTTTCATTGTGCAGGGCTAAGATTGTTCTCAGCAGCAAATTCTCCAAATTATACAAGCCCCATTTCTTTCTTTGAAATAGAAGGCAAAGTAGACAATGACCTGTAGCCAGGGACAGTGCACTTTCTGAACAGATTAATTAGCATCCCAAAGGTCTTCCAGAAACAACAATTCCCTGGTGGGGGAAGAGGCTGTAGTGTGGTTTGGACAGTCCCCAGTTGGTGCTTTCATGAAGAAATATAAGTGACCAGGGACACAAATCTTCTTAATGCATCCAGCCCTCCAATCCACTTAACATGAATTGTTTGTATAGTGAATTACTAGGGCACCATCTGCACTATACATTTAAAGCATTATCACACCACTTTAAACAGTCATGGTTTTCCCCATTAATCCTGGAACTGTAGTTTGGGAAGGATGGTGAGAGTTAGTAGGAGACCACTACCTGAAGCTACAATTCCCAAAGCGGCTTAACAATCTATCTGCCTTCCCAAGGATGTCTGGGAATTCAAGCTCTGTGAGGGAAAGAGGGATCTTCTAACACCCTTAACAAACTGTAATTCCCAGGATTCTCTAGCGGAAGCCATGGCTGTTTAAAGTGGTATGATCCTGCTTTAAATGCATAGTGCAGGTGGGGTCTAGAAGAGTTGCAGTCCTATACATGCTAACTTGGCAGCATATCTGGTCGAATATCAGGTTGCTGTCCTTCAGGGTGAATGCTTCCAATCCAACCCATCAATTTTCGAGTTACATGGCACGCAACCTTTAGAGCACCTGCATTGCATGCAGAAGGTCCAGATTTAATCCCAGGCATCTCTAGGTAGGGGTGGGGAAGACCCTGCCTGAAACTCTGGGGAGGTGCTGCCAGTCAGGGGACCACTAGTCTTTCTCAGTATCAAGCCGCTTCCTATGTTTCTATATATATAGTCCTTCCAGGTGTTTGTTTGTTGTGGGACTGGGGCTGTTCATGCATGCAAGCTTTTCTCAGTCTCCACATGACATCACTGGCATCAAAATGTCAGCCTATGCATCCGTCCCCTTTCATTTGGATATACACTTTAAACCTGGTAAGTTACAAGCCCTGCTGTTAATGACCCATTTAGAGTATTAAGCCCCCATCTAGAAGCACCCATACAGAATGACAGACAAGCAGAGAAGCCTGCAACCATCTGTGTATGAGCCAGAAAACTCTGGCTTCGATTAAGAATAGTGAAAGTCTCAAAAGGAGAAATTGAGAGATGTAAAATACAATTCCAAACTAATCAAACTTATATCCTGGCAAGAAGCCATTATTCAATTAGAGTTACAACTACAGTCTGTGCGGCTCATGTCAGAAAGAGATATAATGTTATAAGCATTTATTTCTGCTCAGCAAGATATGAACTTTCTCTCCATGTATAGAGGCCCATGTCTTATGCGTAAGACAAATTTATATTTTCACGGTGACTCAACATTAGCTGCAAATCTTCATCTCTGCAAAACAGCTCAGCATTGTTTTCTTCAAACCCCCCGAACCCTTGCACCTGTTTTGGTTACATCCATCTTTCATTTTTAATGTGACAACTAGGTAATCCACTCTTCACATGTCCCATTGAATTCAATGAAAAAATGGGAATTCTGTTTAATTCAATGGTGCAGTTGGGCAAACTTGTGTCCTTGTGCACAAATCTGCACAAAGGCATTGTGAGAAGAGAGGACTCCAATGCACTCATTTAGGACATCCAGTCCTGATAAGGCATCTGTGCTCAATGACACTGAATCTCTCACCTGTCTTTTTGTCTGTATTGCAAATGTAGGAATGAAAATCATGAGGTCAGTGCTGTCAAGGCAGTATACAAGCTGCGAGGAATGATGTCAATGTGGGAAGCACCAAACGGTATTAACAAAGCAATCCTATACTTACAGTATGTTACTGCAGGTCTGGAGTTTTGCCCCACTACACTGGTGAAATGGTCACTGAACCCAATGCCAACTCAGAATGTTTGAATGTTTTCCACTCCTACTGAGGTTAATGGAGGGAAATTTCTTCTCCCAGTGTCCTCCTATATTTCTGGTTCTGTTAGCAAATCGAGGGACTTTTGCTTGTGCAGTTGCTTATGTGTTGCTGGTATGGTATCATGCTATGTTAACCTTTGTAACTTTCTTGCAATAAAGTGCTAAACTGGCAGCATGGGAGTTTCCTGTGCAAATGTATCCTAAAAGTACACATGCACATATTATTTTATTCTGAGTAATAACAGAGAATAACCCCTCTGATAATATCTGCAGCTTCCATTTTATTTGCTCTCACACACTTCTAGTCAGATATAATTATTTCCACGTTGCATCAGTACAACGCTACGTACACTTCATGGGTGGCTATTCCAGATTCCCATGTCATGGTTTTCAGAATAGTCTCTCTTCTTCCTCTTCGATGGTTATTCACTATTTTATCTCCCAGTCCTTATGCTTTCCCCTCTACTTATTTATTTTTGTTTATGTCTTTACCATTTATGTGTTCTAATTTCTTACTCCCTGATTTAGTTAAACACATGGAATAATTTTATCACCTAGAACAGGATAATTACTGTGAATGAAGAATAGGAAAGGTGGCAAGTTATTTCAGGGAAACTATTTAGGATAAAGAATGTGATCTTGTACAGGTGACTCTAGGGATGAATCTTGGCTAACACACCAATTAAGATACACCGAAATCTCTGTAGATTATGAAAACTTTAACCTGCTGAATTCATGTCCAGTGTGTTATCCAGCTGTTAAAGACACAGTATCTTTGTTAGGGGGGGAAAGGGGATAACATCAGTGTATGTTGTACTGTCAGTATTTTGCAGGAGGGATTTAAACACAAACTGGGAAATTAAGGTTTGCATAATTAAAGTGGATTAGAGCGCTCTGTTGACCTAGCACCACAAATCTACTTTAAAAAAAGAGACTGGCTTTTTGCAGTTAGGAAAGTGACAATGAAATGTATACAAAAGTGTGGAATAAACAAATGATTAACAGGAAGACATATAAACACCACACAAGCAAATCAGGATGAATGCTCATTGTCATATAATCTTCCTACAAACAAACACCTGATAAAGATCAGTACATTCTTTCTGCTGTGTAAGCTTTGTGCAAGCAAACCAAAATAAATGTTCAATAAAGAGGTAATATGGAGGAACTCTTAGTGAGTCACTGGAGGTACTCTGTGTACCCTTGAGTTTTAATTTATTTCCCTTGGACAAAGCTTACTCACAAAATTCAAACTGAAGGCCATTGTCCTAAAAATCCACACCAAACTAGATTTTTAAAAAAGAAAAACCCAATTACAGTTCCATCACTTTATGATTGATGCCAAAACCCAGGATCTTGAAACAATTTCTTCAAAAGCAGAATTAAAGTGAACAGAACTTAGTACTGCCAAATTCAATATGAATCAAGGATCTTTAATAATTTATATAGGAAGAATACGGGTGCCAATTCCCTCTTCCATTGTAGTGCTCTTATGCATTTAATAGCTGCATGTCGGGCAGAAATTCAGATGATGAAGTTTTTCACATCACTATATGTAGCTCAATGCCAGGAAAACATCAGTGGCTGAACTTTTGTCTGTCACTCAGTTGTTAATGGCCTTGTCAGAACCAAAGTTGGCAACCCTAGTGAATGCAACACTTCGCCAGAATTCAGTTACAGTGAACTTAAACAAGCATTGAGGTAGTGATGTCACAAATATGCCTGTTGAAAATGCTGAGAAATAAGTTGTGAGTTCTTGCAAAATTTTGCCCTTGGGTAAACTGGATCCCTGTGAATCAGAAGCTGAAGAATATTAGGTCGCTGGTGGGCTCTTTAACCCATTAAATTGCAACAGTTAAGAACCAACATTTGAAAAAGAATTTTTTCACTAAGCTAAACATTTTAATGTATTTTTTCCCCCTGAGAAAATGTCTGAGATTTTTTCTTATTTTCAACCCAGACGTTGTTGGCATGTGCCTATCTTGAGGGACAACAGGTACATCTCCAGGGATGAAGTCAAACTGCTGCGTTACCAAAACTGAAGTGACATCCCCAAGAAACAAGCCTGGGTAGTGTCCTCTTGGGCTGCCCAGACGACTCATGATGTGGTCCAAAGCAAAGCAGAGAAATGCACTTGGCACCAGCTTAGCTTCAGGAGTTGCTGGAAGGAGGCATACAAGGCACCATCCAATCGTCCTAGGGACACTACTCTGGATTTGCGTAGGGTTTATTCCTTATCCCTTTCTTCTCCTGTAGATATCCCACAAGGCAAGAGGTTTAGGATGAGATATTTCCTTCTCTTAGAAGGGCTACCTTCCCAGGTTGACAAGCCCCATCTGCCCCTCACTTCCCTCTGCTCTACAGCATGTGCAGAAACTGCCTTCTTGACCATTGGACCCACTAATGGACTCATTCACTCAATCTGCTGGAGTATGTATTTGCATGCAGGGGAAGTCCCTAACTCACTGAGGGTTAGCTACCTTAACCCAGTTGAGCTGGCCAGTTGAAGTCATTCCCAGGGTGTGGCTGCTGTTGCAAGCTGGTAACCTCTAGGAACCACAGATGAAAGTTGAGGACAGGGTGGGGACTAATGGTGGACAAATTACCCCAGAAGCAGCACAGCATGTTCCCCCACCAGAGGTACTATGCCTCCTCTAACACTCCATACCCCAAATGCACTTTGCAGAATTCCCACCATTTTTTGTGGTGGTCACCATCTTCTGCACACCCACCCCACCCCAACAATAGCCCAGAACAACATTAGGTCTGGGACATTGTGGAGGATGGAAAATGGGGTATTTTGGGAAAAGTTTTGTTGGGAGTTTCGGCTGTTGTTGATATTATTTTTTTGTATCTATATTTTTATGTGGAAATTGATCTGTTTGGTTATGTAGTTTTTGTTGGGTTTTATTTATTTTTATGACTACTTTGCTACATTTGTAACTATGTAAATCTTTTCATATTGTAAGCCGCCTTGAGCATTGTTATAACTGTGGAAAGGTGCTATACAAATAAAATGATGATGATGATGATGATTAAAATGGGTAATGAGACTGCTATTGCTACTTGCAGCAGCTGCACCTAAACATTTAGTAAAAAGGAAAGAAGTTGTGTCAAGGCATTCCAGCTTTTAGTTGAGTGGGTGCTGCATTGCCGTTCTGTGCTGCGGTTTTGTTAATTTTGTTGTTGGTTGGTTTTGTTTTATGATTTTAATATACCGTATTTTTCGCTCTATAACACGCACCAGACCATAACACGCACGTAGTTTTTAGAGGAGGAAAACAAGAAAAAAAAATTCTAAACGAAATAGTGGATATATGATTTTTGTGGTTCATGCTGTGGCCACAGACATGTGATCTGACAGTGAGTTTGGAGTAGCCCAATGCAAAAATCCTGAGGATCCATGTGGATCCATGCTTTGTAACCACAGAGGAGGGAAGGAAGGGGAACCATGGATCCTCTGCTCACGACTGCAGCAGATCCCCCCCCCCGCCACCCGCAGGCATTCGCTCCATAACACGCATAGACATTTCCCCTTACTTTCTAGGAGGAAAAAAGTGAGTGTTATGGTGCAAAAAATACGGTAATTCGTACTTGTTTTAATTGTGCTGTTTTTATAATCCTCCCTTGGACCATTTGCTGAAGGGTAGGTTGTAAGTAGACTAAATAAATGGTCAACCCCAACACTGAGAAACAGTTGGCCATTACTCCTTTCCTTGGATAAATTATTTGAAATACCCACTTCTGCCCCATTTCTCTGCCTATAAGCATGGCAGAGGATTTCAAGGTGTAATTTGTGGTTGGCTCTAGTATTTTTACATTTTTCTCAAATAATGCAACCTGTAGCATCCTTTTTCGGAATCAGGCTCTTAAACCAATTATGTGCAGACTGATAGACTTATAGATATGAAAAAAGCACTTAAGAGTTATTAAATGTTCAGGAAACTGAGACAGGCAAAATTAGAGATAATTGATCATTTAGTTTCCATTGTCAAAAGAGTATACACATATATGCAAGAGCACTTTTTATAAAAATCAGAGGGAAACTTCTGTAAATCCCATACTACTCTTGTTCCTAAACACATCTCTTTCTCTATGACGTGTGTGTGCATGGATACACACTCACATCTTCATCTAACTGCTCTTCTCATTACGGAATAATTTACCACATAATAATTTACCACATAAGCCCTTTTTACATGTTCATTGGAGTAAGTCAAGATTATGCTCACTCTGTCCCCATTTCCAACCCCCACACATTCGCCTGGAGGTGTGAATAGAGTTTACATGTGTACAAATTGTACACGCATAAACGCTTTCTGTACTGTTGTGAAAACTACAAAAGACAAGATACAGTTATGGCTGAGATCCTGCACCCTCTTCCATTCATTCAGTGTATGTGCCATGTGAGAGGGCAGTTTTACGAAAGTGAGCAGTAAAGGCTAGAAAAGTGAAATGCAAGTTTTATAAAAGAGTAATAAGAGAGGACATTAGAATAAACCAAGAGAACGGGATGCAAACCAATGCAATTTTTTTTGGTGTATTTGTTTTGTAGATGGGATGGAAGCTTTAAAATAGTTATCAAAATCTCACTTCTGAAAATGATAAAATCAGCTGCTAGAAGATGGAGCAGATATGTGGGCTGGGGGAGAGGCATTTCATGAGCTGCATTTACTAAAGGTGTGTGATCATTTTGATTTAATCATCCCAACCAGAACTGAAGCAGCTCAATTCAGGGAGATTCAGGAGAAGCGGAATGGTGTCGTTCAGTGGCAGAGCACATGCTTTGCATGCAAGTCCCATTTCCAGGCCCTGGTATATCTCAGCCCTACCTAGACACCAGAGAATTGTAGAGTTGGAAGGGGTCATCTAGGGTCATCTAGTCCAACCCCCTGCAATGCAGGAATCTTTCACTCATCATGGGGCTCGAACCCATTCCCCTGGGATTAAGAGTTTCATGCTCCACTGACTGAGCTACCCAGCCTCATCCTGCCTGAAACCCTAGAGCCACTTTCAGCTGGTACAGTCAATATTGAGCTAGATGGACTAGTGATCTAATTTGGTAGAAGGCAGATCCCTAGGTTCCTGTTTGGTGTGACCTTTGGCCACTCATACCATCTCTCATCCTAACCTACCTTAAAAGGTTGCTGTGAGGACAACTGGAGGGAAGAGAAAACCATATATAGTATCTTGAACTTACTGGAGTGAATAAATCTGGGATATAAATGTAATTGTAAAAATAATCCTTCAGTCCTGAAGCACTTCTCCTACTTAAGAAACTCAGCCTTACCTGATGCTTTCCACCAGATCACATCCACACCGTACATTTAAAGCCTCAGCTTCCATCAAAGAATCCTAGGAACTGCAGTTCCCAGTTTAATCCTTATACAGCTACAATTCCCAGCAGTCTTAACAAACTACAGTTCCCAGGGTTCTTTTGGGGAAGCCACGTGCTTTAAATGCGTGTTAGGGTTGTGTACGATTTTAAGTTTATTTCTGAACCATTTTGTATTAAGTATGTTTAATACTTCCAGCCAATCACCAGCTATTGATGGTGAAGGATTCAAATGATAAATAGTGATGCCTCATTCCTACCCTTCCAGTAGCAGAAGGTGGGGGGAATGGCATACAGGAAAGCCCCTTCAGCAGCTCCTCCTCCTCCAAGACATCTGGAAGAAGTCAGGAAGAGTGAAATCAACAAAAGGCAGTGACTACTTCTGCCTATTATCTGTTACTCACCCTATTTGGGAATCAGCAGCAGGCAGAACTGGCTCCATGGTGATATCTAGAGAGGTAGTGGAAGCAACCACTCTAGTCCAGTCATTTAGCTTAGCCAGAAAAACGGTAAAGGGACTCCTGGCCATTAGGTCCAGTCGTGACCGACTCTGGGATTGCGGCGTAGAGACTTTTAATCTCAGGGCTGTGGGTTCAAGCCCCACATTGGGTGAAAGATTGGGCAGTTGGACTAGAAGACCCCTGTGGACCCTTCCAACTCTACAGTTCTATGATTCATCTCTCCTGCCCACCTGCTTCCAGATGGTGCAGTATAGAGAACATAGGAAGACTAGAATACTGCCTATGGGGAGCCCAGAGGCAGAGACCGAGTGCAACAGCCTTCTCCCCTTTTGTGGTTTCCAAGAAGTGGTGTAACTGGGATGGGCATGGAAGGAGCAGTCACACCAGCCTCTCAGCTGCCCTCTTCCTCTGGGTGGCACAATGATGGTGGCACTGGGTGTGCTCAGTGAGAGGAGGCAGTGGGTTAGTTACTGGCAGAAAGAATTGGGCAAGCGATTGCTGCCGCCTCTCATTGCTTGTACATCCCTAGCAGCGCCACCCAGAGGGAAAGCACAGGTGGGTGAGAGGCAGCTGCTCCTTCCCCCAGTCACCTTCTTGTGCCATGTCTGCTAGAAAGAGCATGAGAGAATGGGCAGAGCTTGGACCATGAAACCGATCTTCCCTGCCCAGGGGGTGAGCGCATGAAAGGCATCAGGAGCAGCCATTCTTTTTCACTCTTTCCTTCCCCCATCCAGAAGTGGCAAGGCTCAGATGAAGTGGCAGGAGGCAAGGACAGCCACCAACCTAGATGGCTTTAAGAGAGGATTAGACAAACTCAGAGAGGAGAGGGTTGCGATGGCTATGCCTCTACAGTTGGATACCAGCTGTTGGAAAGGACAGGAGGGGACGTTCCCACAGGTATAGGACTCAACGCCTAGCGGCTATGGCCCCTTCAGCCCCCCCCCCAAAAAAATATCTGAGGGGGCTGGGCCCTCAAAGTTTATTCAAATAGGGGGCTGCGTCATGTGATCTATTATGTGGGACGGGGCTTACCTGCCCCCCTTCCAATATTTTATTCAAGTTGGCACCGCTGCCCACAGGCACCCGGCTGGCCACTGAGCCCAGGACACCGGACTAGCCGAGCCACGGGCCCGATCCAGCGCGCTCTTCTGACGTTCCTCTCGAGCCCTCAGCCCCTGTTCCTGTCTCCTCCCCGGCAGCAGCTCTTCCTTCAGGAGGCAAAAGAAGCGGCCGCGTAAAGGCGCGCTCGCACCATACGTGCTTCGCCTCACGTGTAGCTCTCGGGCCCTCCCGGCCGCCTCCGCCCCGCCGAGTCTCTTCGCGCGCGCCCCGTCCGGAAGGGCCCTCCCGCGTCCCCTCGTCAGCCGAGCGCCAGCGAGAGAGCTTCTCCCGCCGCTCGCCAGCAGCTGCCTGCGGAGCGGAGCCGAGCAGCAGAACGAGGGGGGAGGGCCTGCTGGGCGGGAGGAGGCGGGGGCGGGGGCGGGGAGCGCGCGCTGGGCGCCAGGCGCTGAGTGGACGGCTCGAGACGGCGGCGCGTGCAGCGGCGGCGGCGGCGGCAGCAGCAGCAGCTCCTCCAGCCAGAGGCTCAGTGGGCAGCGTCGCGCTGCGTTTCCACAAGCAAGGAGCGGAGAGTCCGGCGGGGTTGGCGGCAAGGTGACGGAGTGGGCAGCGCGCGCTTTCCCCCTTTCGACTCGCGCCTTTTTCTTCCTCTTATTTTCCTCTTCTTTTTTTTTTTGCGGAGGGGGACCGGCTTCTCGCCAAGGGAGCCTTCTCTGTGGAACCCCCCCTTTCTGTTTCGCGAGGGGAGGGTGCGGGTGTGTGTGGGGGGGGGGTGCCTTCGGGGGCTAACCCGCCCTGGCGGTGTCTCTCTTCTCTCCCTCAGATGTTCAAGGTAGCCGCCTTCGCGTGTGTGTGGGCAGCCGCTTGGTGCAGTCAGGCGGTGGTAGCGGCGGCGGCGGCGGCGGCGGCGGCGGCAGCAGCGACGGGCGCCGGGGGCAGGTCAGACAGCGGCAATTTTCTGGATGATAAACAATGGCTTACCACTATCTCCCAGTATGACAAGGAGGTTGGACAGTGGAACAAATTCCGAGACGTAAGTGTGCCGTGCTCGCTTGCTCGTCCGCCTGCCTACCTGATCCTTCTGCCACTGCTGCTTCTCCTCCTCATCTTTCCCCTTCCTCTATCTTATTTCTGCTTACCTGGGTTTGCGCTGCGGGCGCGATCACCTTTCCTCCGCGAAGAAGTTCTCCTGCGCTTTTCTGCTCCTGTTTCGCGAAAACTGGCATGGCTCCCTCGCTCCTCTTCCCCGATGCGAGCAGACTTTGTTTCCCCTGCAACGATCTTCATTTCCCACTGGCGGCGGGTGCTGTGATGTCTCAACTTTTTTTCCTGGGTGGTGTGGGGAGAGATGTAAAGGGTTTTTTGTTTTTTTGGTTCCCCACCCTTCCCTTCCCCGCATCGCCTTGAGTGTAAAAAGTGCATCCCCACTGTGGGGAGCTTTCTCGCTGCAGTTAACTGAGTAGTGTAAGGATCGATCCGGTGGCTTAATGGACCCTTTAAAAGAACTTGAAAGTCAGAGGAGGAGGAGGGAGACACGCAGACAATGCTACTTGGGGAGACTTGGATGTCTGAGAATGAATAAAAGCCCTGATTGATGGTGATGGGCTGCCTTGCGGGGCGGGTGGACTTTCCCACCCCCATGCCACCTCTCTTTGTGCACGTGCAGGCCAGGAATATATAATAATGCTGGTCTTAAATGCTGAGAACCAGGGGATGGAAATGGTGATGAAAAGACAGACTTTTGCTGGATGCAGTGGGTGGGGGAGAGAATAGACATAGAGGAGGTTAAGAGTCGTAACTGGAAAGGAGAGTGGGATTTTTTAGGGCATGTGTTGGTCCTGTCTTTAACCCATAGTTCGTTGGGAAAGATGCTTCCCTTTTGATAGAAGAGAGCTGAGTTTTCTCTGGGTGGCTGCTGGTGGAGTGTAGCTGCTGCTACATTGTCATCTCCGATCCTAGTGTTTTATCTAGGGATCTGTATTCTCTAACTGGAAGAGGGGGATGTGCTTGAGTTACAGTTGCAGTGCTTTTTCACCCCATGGAAAGCAGCTGAGTGAGTTTGGTGGAACATGCATGAAACCAGGGTCACATTAGAAGCTAGGCAGGGAGTGCAACTTCTTTTTCTTTCTCTCCTCCCTCTCCACTGCCCCCTCACTTTGGGGCCTGATCAAATGGAGCCCAAGCAAGGAATGTGCTAAGTAAGCCCCAAATCTCACACTCAGGCAGGTCCAGTCTGTGCAGAGAATGCTTCTGAATGAATGGCTAAGGGAGAATGCTCGTACTAGTTTGAAAGCATCACCAGTCGCTTTAAATCTCCTTTCTCTATCCTTTTCAAAAAGTTATCATGAGACTAAATATAAATTCTTAAGAAGCAACACATGTGCTTCAAGAAATAATGTGAATGCTTTGCCATACTTTTTGTGAATTTTTCTTAACTTAGGCTGAGACACGTAAAGGTTTGATATCTTTGATCTGTGCAGCTTGATGTATGTGGCCTGTGAAACCTTCTGTGTAATTCCCATATCAGAAACAAGTCCTATGTCATTCACTAAAACTTAGTTCCAAGTTAGTGTGCATTGGATTGCAGCTTCAGTCTGAATATTTACTAGGGAGTAAGCCACATTGGACACAGTGGGACTTGCTACAAAGTAAACAAGCATAGCATTGCATTGTTTAGAATCTTATCTCCTTAGAAGCGGTTGAATAATAACTATACCATTTATTTAAATCTTACTCCTCTAAAAATATCTGGTTGATGCTTTGGAAACTCTTCTCTACTGTTGAATTTTTTTAATGGGAAAACTTTTTTTAAAAAAAAGTGTCAAAGTTTTCTTGTTAGAGCAAGCATACTTTGGACTGCCATTGTTTCTTTACTTTGAAGAAAAGCAATAGCTGAATGCTGCTTAATTTTTTGTATGCATGTTAATAACTTTGGTTTTAAATTAAACTCCCCCCCCCAACTGAATTACTAAAAGAGAGAGAGAGACTGCATACAGTAATTGGTCGTGGTCTCTACACTTGAGTCACTAATATTATCTTATTATGACAAATTGTTCGTGTTTCATTAGCACTTAATTCTTTACACATTGCTCTGTGCTCTATACTATTCTGTTTATCACTTTAAATAA